AAGCTACCTTGTTGTCTCTAGGTCCAATAACATTCACTTTGAGACCACCGTTGCTTCCTTTTGGATCGAATATGAGGCTGGCTGGCTCGTCGATTTTGATTGAATGGTCAATAGCGGCTCCATAAACGCTTGGTAGTTGTTGTTCGGATACAACTACGGTTTGTGGATAACCTAAAGATTTGGTTCAGGGACCCGTTATACTTCGCCGAAAAAAGCCTAAAAGCGCCCGAAAAAGCCTAAAGGCACCCAAAAAAGCCCAAAAGCACCAGAAAGAGCCAGAACGCCTGCTTTCGCGCGCAAGTTTTAGCGCTAGGGTATGTTCGTTGCTTTCGCAATCGAGTCCTTTGCTTTCTGTCGTCTGCGCATCAAAATAATGTCAGAACATTACTAAAAGTTCAAAGCCGGATGAAGCAGAACGTTCTGCCTTTCTGGCGCTTCTGGGCTTTTTTGGGTGCTTCTAGGCTGTTTTCGGCGCCTTTGGGCTTTTTTGGGCGTTTTTGGGCTTTCTTGGGCGCTTTTAGGCTTTTTGGGCCTTTTTTCGGCGAAGTATGACGGCTCCATCAGAATTTTTGGCATTGATGTGATACAAGATATCACGACAGATGCTCGACTCGGTAACTTACCAGGGATCTGGAATCCAGCCACTTTCACGTTCACTTTGTGGGGTCCCGTTTGATTTGGCAGGAAAGTCGCCCGATCCTCTCCTCCGGGAGATTTCAACATTTCCACTTTCAGAGGTGCTCCAGACGGATCGGTCACTTCGACACTGAGATCACCCGTTCCCGCTTGTCGGCGATCAACTGGAAAAATTACCATCTCAGATAAGTGATACGATATATTCACTATATCTCGGCTTACCGTTGACTACAGTAGCATGACGAAGAAGTAAAGCGTCTGAGAGGCCTTTGACGCGAACTTTCTTAGGATCTACCACCTCACATTTGAATGGTGAACCGATGACAGGGACGTCACCAAATGTTACTTCGATATTATGCGTTCCTAAGCAAATTCGAATTGAAATAAAAATGAAATTATTTGTGACGTTGTGATGCCTTACCAGTTTGTTCAGGAGTGAACTCAACCCAATAACTGTCATCCTGCTGTCGGTAACATCGCACTGGCAATGGACCACCGTTAGGATCTACAATGCAGACAATTTCATGAGCTTCCTCTTCATCTTACCCGCCCGAAACACACAAAACACAGAAAACACACACAAAAACATGCAAAAAGTAAGACGTGCCAAGAGCCTGGAAATAGGAGAATTGAAACGTGTTGCAGAAAAGTGAGAAATTCTCATCACCTGACACTAAAACGTCAAGTTCACCACGAGTCGCATCGTTGAGGGAAACCTCAAAGCGAGCGGTGCGACCTCGTTGGGCTTTGAAAAGTGCATCGCCAGTGGCACGAACTGATCCTTCGGATGTGATGTTGCATTCGTATGGACATTCTGAATATTTGTAGAAATATTTGCGAAGAGTAAAAATTACGAGCTTTCCACTGTTTCAAAACTCACAATGGAAGAAAGATTAGTCAAAAAGGCCTTTCTGTATGAGATGTACACTAATTTGAGGAGTGTGAAAGTCGAATCCGAAACTACATTTCTTATCTCCCCGGGCTTCCGAGCAAGGAGTGTTGAGAGTTTTTATCGGCAAAAAAGCCACTGCATGTTCGCAAAGAGTGACACGAAAATTATTCGAGCCGTAGGAAAAAAGTCGCGTTTGATGCTAATTTTCTCATAAAACCTTCGTAACTCCTCATCCAGGAATCCGCAGCAGATAAGGGAGATAGATTTGGAATCAGCGTTTCATACCCTTCAAGGCAGT